AGTTCGCAGAGCTAGAGCAGAAATATAGTGACCATCTCCACTTTTACACTGATGGCTCGAAAACATTGAATTGCGTAGGCTGTGCAGTTTATTCTCTCGCTTTCAGTGAAGTGAGGCAACTCAACCCTCTAGCAACTATCTTTACTGCTGAACTGTATGGTATCCTGATGGCTATTGAATATATTCTAGAAAATAACATTAACAAAGCAGTTCTGTTTGTTGGTTCCCAAAGTGTTCTCTTAGCTACTTCATCTTTAGCAGACAGCAAGAACGCTCTTGTGCAACAGGTTCGTTTTCAGATAAACAAAGCTTTCCATCTAGGACAATTTATAAACTTCTGCTGGGTGCCCAGTCATGTGGGCATTCCCGGTAACGAGAATGCAGACCATCTTGCACTTTCTGCAAAAATTACACGGAAACGTCTTTTGGCCTGCCGCACCAAGACCTCAAGCCAGCCTTAAACAAGTCAATTATTAAGTTATGGCAACAGGATTGGGGCACACAGATAGATAACAAACTTCACATTATTAAGCCCAACTTAGAAGTGTGGGAGAGTTCCTCCCATAAGGACCGCCGTTCGGAAGTTCTTTTATGCCGCTTGAGAATTGGTCATTCTCGATTGACTTACCTGCACTTGCTCTGCGGTGAAGATGTAAAGCTCTGTGAAAAGTGTGGGAAAATGTTAACTGTCCTTCACATCCTGTAGAATTGTAGATTTTTCGATCATCAACGTCGAAGATATTTTCCAGAACTTTTCAGAAACCATCTTCCATTTCGTCCTTATTTTTTGCTTGGTGATAGACCTTTGGTACCATTTGCTCGCGTTTTAAGTTTCCTACATGCAATTGGCCTTTTGCACTTGATATAGATAAGTAAAGTTAGATGTAAATGCAAGGCTCCTTAAATTAACTTTCTTGGCGCAATATGGCCGTAGTCGCTCTTGCGCCATTAAACCCCAATCATCATCATCACCAAAAGACTTTCTTCTAAATTATCCAAGGAGGTTATAATGGGCAGGAGGTGGCGTCCCTATCCTCAATGCATGGAGCGATGTGTAACGGAAGTAGGCGTGGCCACGAGCCGCAACGAACATTTTTTGACCAATGGGAAGCCTAGTGAGTGGGCGCCGCCATTAATTTCGGGACATTTCCGCGGCAACGCGACTGTGTGCACCGAAAGTAATGGCGGCACCCACCGTTATTTGAAACAGCGCTTAACGGGAGACTTTTAAACCGGTATGGTCGGAATTGGATGAGATTATTATAAACGAACGCCTGGTTGCCCAGCAGAAAGTCAGTGACTAGAATTGAGACCCTGTAGACGACGCACCGTGAAGGACTTGGCGGTGCGCAACGGATTTGTTAATAAGCAGCAGCAGCAGATCGCAGGAGCGCGCATGCAAGCCAGGAGCGCACAGAACAACGGGCTCGCGCTTCCAGTTCTGACTTCGCTCGCACATAATGTGGAACTAAGTATAAACACTCACGCTGCAAAGCATTTGCATCGTGGACACCCACGGCGGACGCCGACCGCATCGAAAGCTAGCCTCGTGAAGCACACGCCGGGGCAGATTAGAAAGCAGACGAACCGCCGGTGCGCAACCCCGCGGCCTCGGAACGGCTGCGCAAGGCAGTCTGGGATTAAACGCCTCTTCCGGCTTCACTCAGGCTGACGTCATGCCGGGTCCTGTCTGTTTAAACGTCCTTGAAATTATCCAAGCATCGCGAGGAGAACGCTGGAAGTGTAATTCTACGGTCCACGCGCGCTGGCCTTCCTCTTATAAAAGATTCGAAGTAGAAAATCATAATAAGGCTTTAACGAACGCGCGTGCAATGCAAAATTTGTTTTAGACTTTTTGCTTTAGGACGGTTACTACTGCAGACGCCAGCACGTGCGACGCGTGCATCTACAGTCGTAGCATGCACCTCGGTGCCTGGATAATTTAGAAAAAAGGTCTGTTGGGACGCTGTCTGCTTTTGCGTGCTATCAACAATCCGCTTTCCAAAGACGTTGCCATGCCGACAATTATCGCGTTCATTTAGGCTTAGGAATTCCCAGAATCGAAAACTATCTGAAAAATGCGGCGATGTCATTGCCCATGCTTTGCGGTTTAAGTGAGGTAAAGCAAAGCGAAAGCCTCCTGCACCATTCGTTGCTGACTAACGCGCCCGATATTGCAGCCACAACGACATATTAGTTCCAAAGCGAGCGGCGCTCACTCACTGGTGCACCGCCATGTTTCCCCGCATCCCTACCGAGCCAGTCACGTGATTTAAAAAAATCCCTCTCCTAGGTACTGCGGCTAACTTTAGCCGCGGTTAGCGCTTCGAGCAAACGGGCCCAGAAGGGACACCAGACCACCTGGATTCACAATCGCCTCCTAAGGTACTAGATTCGGTGACCGAATAAGGGTTAATTAAGGGAAGCCCCTTCCGCCTCTTCCAACTTTAGCAAATCGAACGCTGGAGAGCATGTGATATCCTCTACAGCGTTTGTTCTGCTCAAGTGGAAAGAAATGGGAGGAGCTTCTCCTGAATTCTTGACCTGTCATCGAATTTAGATGTCAATGTCTTTCTGCATTCAGCTTTTAAGAAGTCTTTCACGGTCAAGCTGAACCAAAAGTGGTGTCAGCATAGGCGTAGACTACGGGGGGGGGGGGGGGGGGGCGGGCATCGGGGCTCGTGCCCCTCCTGGTGAGATCCAGGGGAAAGCTGGGCCCCCCCCCCCCCCCCCCCCCCCCCCCCCGGGCCCGGGCCATGATCCTTACCGAGACGCTGTTTACGTGCCATGTAACGAGTTTCTAGTAGTGGCATGTAAACAAAATAATGCACACGTTGCCTTTATTGAGAAAATACATGGGAAATAGAATCCCAGCGCGCTTCCGGGGGGGGGGGGGGGGGGGGGGGGGAGGGGGTGGGGGTGCTTTTCCGCTTGCGCGGAAAAGCCCCTGCCCCCCTTTCCTCGAAAACTTCTCAGCCTGCCCCCCCCCCCCCCCCCCCGGGAAAATGGGAAGTCTACGCCGCTGGGTGTCAGACCACCTGAGTCACCAAGACCTATGGCACAGATGTCGGGTTCCTTATGTATTCAGCCTTCAAAAAATCGTGCTCTGTCAAGATGAACCAGAAACGGTCTTAGACCATCTTTATGCCATCATCAGCTGCTCTGGTGCAATATGTCTGGTTCCTTGTATTGAGCTTCAACGAAGGCCTTCACACTAAAATAAACAAGAAGTAGCATTAGATCATGTGTTTCGCCATCATCTACAACGTTACCATGGTTAGGGACAGATTAAGAAAAGCTTCTCTCACCTCTTTCCACTTCAGCAGAGTGAACACTGGAGAAGATGTCGCCTCCTCTCCAGAGTTCGCTCTACTAAAGTGGAAAGAGCTTCACTTGAATTCCTAACTTGTCACCGTCTATGGGTGAGCTTTCGAAAAATCTTTCCCCGCCAAACTGAACCAGAGGCGGCATCATAACATCTTGCCCACCATCACCGGCTATGGTACTAGATGTCAGGTTTCCTATGTATTGAGCATTCAAAACATATTTCACAGGCAAGCTGAACCAGATGCAGCGTCAAATTGTCTGACCCATAATCACCCGTGGTATCTAGAAGTCAGATTCCCTATCTGTTGCCCTTTCGGGAAGTCTTTTAATAAGCCGAATCCGAAATGGCTTCAGACCCTGCGATCCACAATGACTGCCAGTGTACTGGATCTGGTTCTATATTATGTTTACTGCTGCAATTTTGACATATCTGCTGGATCTGATTCGGGAATGTGTGGTCAAATACTGTCCCCAACGCCTGTTAAAATAAATTTCGCAAAAACAATGATCGCAGACTAGTTACCCCATAGCAACGGCTTTTTTTAATGTTTTTTAAGCACATTAGGACCGCAAACACAGTATGCGATACTTTTCCCTCGATGACTAAAACGTGTGCTGGTCATCTTTGTGTGACTTCCCGCAATTTATTTTGTTTCTGTTTTGGGCTAGATTAAGGACCTGTTAGAGGCACACGACCGAATCGGTCGCTAAACCAAGATCGATCCTAGTCCCACTAGAGCGACAAACAAACGCTACCGACACCGACAAGCCTAAAACACGTGCAGCATGCACGGGACGGTACCTTTGGAAGGGTTACCGTCTCTCGGCGCTCCTGAAGCAAACACGGGGTGATTGCAAGCCTGCAAAAGTATCATCGCGTGCATGCTGCACGTGTCTGAGGCTTGTCGGTGTCGGTTGGTTCTGTTTGTCGCTGTGGTGGGACTAGGGCATTAAGAATATTGTTTAAAGGGATACTACAACGAAATTTCGGCGCTCATTTTTTGGTCTATATGTGTTCAAAAAAGCACTATCAAATCGAACATATCAATATCTTGTTAAAAAAGTCACGAAAAGGAATTTTAAAACGAATTAAACGATTAGCAAAGAGCACCTGGTGGATGTCGCTATCGCCTCATTTGTAATGCTCGTCTAGGAACCTTGGCAGCTAGTGACGGAGGTTGTCTCGCCTCCGGCCACGACGAGAAAAGAGGGGCAGGAGGAACTCCCCTCTTCCCGAGAATGCCTTTTGTGTGTCACAGAAGGCGCTATTGTCCCCCTAGAAGATTATAGAAGATTATCCCGTCACTCAAAATTTGTACAAAAGCAGCCGCTTCGGTGGCTGGAACGACTAGGCCACCCTCTCGACATCAGCCTCGCCGTAGCTTTGCTCGTCTTGAGACGACCTACGTCCCGATTGCGTTGGATGTCACGTGGTCTCCGCTGGGCCTTCTCCGAGCGCTTGCCAGAGTGGGCCGTTTATAACGAAAAATACAGCCACCAGGCTCAAAATACAAACGTGCGATTGTCATTTACGGATATTGTGGATCATATTCAACCTATTTTTGAACACGACGGGAATATTTCAAATTTCGTTGAAGTATCCCTTTAAGACTAGAGCTAGGATATTGAGCACATATTTTCCCGCACGAAATTAATGACTCGCGCTTTTGCAGAAGCTCTTCCGAAGGATCTCCGCTGGGCTCCGTCAGCGGATCTTACTACGGATCTACGGCCAACGGCAGCAACTTGATGCCTCAACCTCGACCCTCTGACCTGTTCGTCGCACCGGTGGTCCAGGGATCACTCATCTTGCTGGGATCCGTTTCTTTGGCGTACTACCTTCGAAGCAATACCCTGGGAGCGACGGCCGACTTCACGTGGAAGGCTTTCCTAACCACAGCGATGCAAAGCTACCTTCTGGCCTACGCTGTTTCTTTGGTCCTGTACGCGTCTGCAGGACGTGGGACCCTCATGCTTTGGGGTTCAGTGTTCTATGCGATTGTTCCAGCGTTGGGCTGTATCGTGGGACTTGCCGCGAGGTCGAAGATGAACGAAGTCGCCGCAGGCGTCATGGACGCCCTCTGCGGAGGAGCTGTCCTCTTTGTGACGTGCTTCGAGGTCCTGCAACGGTATGGTCGCAGTGCGCTTCCTCCGCCATTGCAGCTAGTTCCAGTTGCAGCAGGGATGGGCGTTTGGGCGCTGTTTCTTTATCTGTTTCCTAAGGGGCACTGAAGTGGTGAACAATGTACTACCTTCGGAGAGCAACGACACGCCTGGACGCCTGCAAGCATGACTTTCCTACATGGATTTCACTTAGCCAACGAGAGTGGCAGACATCATTGCAGACGCAGCGCTCGCGAGACGGTAGAAGCACGACGATCTGATACGTCCGTTCTGTGGAGCTATTGTTTGCGTAAAAAGTGATTGTGTGAGTGTGTTTGATGTCTAGTTTTTTATGAACGTATTTTGTGTGTATTTAACGTGGGTTTTTTTTTTTTGTAAAGTTAAGGACGAGATTGGGTGTTTGATCATCCAGAAAAAGTGTGATGTATTTTTAAATTTAACTTTCTCTTTCTTACATCATTTGCACCTTCTTCATCAAAACATCACTGTATCTGACATTGTCATTTATAGACATTTTTTAGACCTGTTACAACTTATAGCATTAGGTTTCCTCATACTCTTTTATCCCATAACACACTCTGTCATTACAAACTGACGCGCATGTCTTATAAAAAAATCTGCATGAATTCACTGATCTCTTAAGACTATGGCTTTGTCAGTTCAGTTTCACCGTCCTTTCAGGAACCTGCATCATAGACGCATGAGGACAACCGCATTCAAATTCTCATGCCATTCATCCAAACACGACCCTACTCTGGGTTACTGTAACACGTGACAACGCCTTTTTATATTTTTTCTACCGTGTTAAATATTATTTTAGGCGTAAAGGCCCGTTCGCATAGAGATTGACTGCCGCAGGGATACAGCCATACAGTGTAACATAAATAAATTACGCGTCTTTTTTTTTGCCAAATGTTATTTAAAGCTGACGGACCATTTTTTTAAAAAAAGAAGCCGTCAGTTTGGACTATGTTTTTAGAAATGGTTCGAATCGACCACTGAAGGCAATTCAAGATGTGAGGTCTCGTATTTGTGTCTCAGAAATGGGCGCACCTTAAAAGACCTGGTCATGATGACAAAGAGCCCCGAGACTAGAGCCGCGGACAGACTGCTAACACATCATACAAAGTACACTGTCTGAGGCGTGATGTTTCAGGGTACCATGCATGGTCCCGTCACATGGCCATGCAATAAAATAGTATGCAGATATGTTCGAACATTTCTATGAAGAAAACGAGCTTCCATGGCATGCTTGATTCAAGTCCGCAAATAATTCGCTGCCATCATGTCCGCAACTCACCACCGCGTGTGTTGTAGGATGCATCCGAGCTGTGTGACTGGAGCTAAAGGCAAGAAAAAGACAGCACAGGCATAAAGTGTGTTTGTGCTGTCCTTTGCTTTGCATCAGTCTCGGGCCTGATGGTAATGATGTTCAAGCTCGTTGGCGCTCTTACTTTACGTAAAAAGATTTTTAGGGGCGAAGCTCCTTAGGGGCTAACCATGTCCGTCCTCCGTCGGGTGCACGTGCTCCTGCTCGTGAGCTCACGCGGTTACGTGGTCACGAGCACCTGAGCACGTGCTCCCGTGCTCGTGTAGGGCAAAAAAAAAACCCGCATCTCCACATGGTGAATGATGTTTATTGGGGCGAAGCTCTGGTGGTGCTTGTCTGCGTAGACGGTGAGCCGCAGCATGCCGAGCCTTTCGTTCGTTTTCATCCAAGTCGGAAAGAGAATGTGTGGTATGGAACGTGGTTATATACGCATTTGAGCATTTGACCGCAGCGTGACATGAATGAAAACGAACGAAAGGCTCGGCATGCTGCGGCTTACCGTCAACGCAGACAAGCACCACCAGAGCTTCGCCCCAATCAACATCCTTCACCACATGGAGATGCGGTTTTTCTTTATATAAAGCACGTCTGAGTTTTTTTTTATTTTTTTTTATGGTGATTGAGATATTATAGCTTCCTATATACTATCAAAACCTGGCAGATCGCCACGAGAAACGGCCGCCGAAATGGAAACCGTGGAGCAACAGACAACAGATGAGAGGAGAGCCACGTGACTGGCGCCCCGCTGCGGCGGGACGCCGAAACACGCTTCTCCCGAGCGAACAAGTGTGTTTCGGGTTCTCGCCGCTGTAAAAGCTGTGCGCTCACGTCCAAGTTCCCCGAGAAAGGGCTCTTTAATGCTCTGTGGTGTTACCAGATCCTCGCGCTCCAAATCTGCGACCAGGCACTCCATGGCTCCGTCGTCGAACTGCCAGACTTTATGAGTATAGAGGAGGCTATGATGAGACACACTGCAACATCGCCAAGGTCCTCAAACGCTCGCGGCGTCACCTGGTCCCACCTATAGTGCCCAAGGTCGGTGGCTCCACTACGTAGAACATTTGTTGTAAGCTCAGTAAAACTTGAGTAGAGAACGTCATGGGACGTGAAGAACGTGCCTTCCAGTTCTTAAACTTAACGCCGGTCGCGGCAATGGAAGCACCGCGAGTCCCTGCCACCGAAAACCTCTCGCGTTACCACCAGAGCGGAAAAGATGAAGGTGACCATGACAGCTAAGGCGTCCTCCTCACCAACTGAATCCCGAAGGGCATGATTGTCATGACTGTAACCTACAAGGCATTTTAGAAGAAAAATATATATATATATATATATATATTTGCGCAATAAAACAAAAACAAAACAACAAACAAACAAACAACAACAAAAAAAAACGCAAACGGCCGCATTCGTGATCTTCAGGCATGTCAACACTGCGGCTAATGGGGCAACACTTCTTTAAACTTCGCTTCATAGGAGAAAAAAAAAAGAATATCGGAATAGGTTTTTTTACGTTCCCTGTTCCCCAGAACTTGCGTCAAGCGAATACGGCCGTTTGCGATCGTGGAAATTATTCTCCTTGGTCGAGTGTTCTCAACGTGCCCCGCCGTTGCATCACTGATATCCCAGGGGACTTAACAGACCCCCAAATGATTCTGCACCAGCGGCCGTGCACTCGTGGCGTCGACGATGCGAGAAAGAAAAAAAAAACATATAGAACCTTGTTGGAGACCGCCGTGGTGGCGACTGTGAAAAAGTGACGACGTTTCTCCATTTTGTTGCATTCCCTTTTTCACAAATAAATTTGGAGACTTCGGAACTTGAATGTCTCTCGTAAAGGTGTATCCACACGACGGACCGGGCCGCGGACCGATTCATCACGTGATGCGCGGCCCGCGGACCGCCCGGCTGCAATGAGCATCCACACGGCGGACCAAAAGAGCAGACGACAGAGCGAACGGTCCGGTCTAACCCTCGACCTCACAGCTCCGCGAAACTCATGCAGCGAGCTGCTTTGAGGCTATTTGTAAGGAGCCAAGATGGAGGTTGAACGAAAGAGACGTTTGGCCGCGGTGGCCCTGGCGTTGAATACTGAGGACGAGGAGGACTTAAGTGAACCGAAAAGGGCATGCACCTGTTGTCCCACAGAGCGGGGAATTGCTCCATGAGCGCGATGAAGTAAAAAAGTTGCATCGTCGCACCTAGTGCCACTAAATAAGCTACACTTCAGAGTAACGACACTTGGCCATATTGTGGCTTAAAATCATGGTTGCCAGTTATCCGAAGCTTTATCTGAAATCACAGGAAACGCTTTTCCGTCCTCCACACATGTTTAAACAGTCCCCGACAGAGAAAAGCAATACTACATGAGCTTACTAACACCGAATCGAATGCTGAGGAAGTCGCACTCTTGAATCATGACGATCTGCAGTTGCGTCTGCTCTGCACAAGCCCCAATATGGCGGCGCCCACAACAATGCCGGGGAACGGAGTGCCGCCACTCTAAGCGCAGGTCATTTAGTGGCTCTAGTCGCACCATGCCGCCATCGTCACACAACAAAAGGATTGTCTTCTTCGTCTTTAACAGTTGGCGCCACTGATCTCAATGACAATTGCTGGATCGCGCTTGCCGCTCCCGCAAGTGAAGCCACCGGACTTCACTCGCTTGGGATACGATTTGCCGTTTTTGCTAGCCTTTGCTGCGGTTTTCCAGCGTGCTGCAGACACGTTTTCTACTCGTTCGTCGTCATTCGCCGAAGAAGTTTTTTGAAAACTCTGTGTATTGTTGAGACTTGCCGTCGTGAACACGTGGAAAATTTTACGAAAGTGCAGTGTCGCAGGAAAAAGGCACAACGCGTCGAAAGGAAGGGCTGGCGGCGTGTTCAAAGCTTCCTTGGCATGCCGAAGTGCCGTGTCTCTGTGCCTTCGCACGCTTGGATACCGACCAAGAACCGACGCCGTGTGTATGTGTCTAGCGAGTGCAATGTGCGTGAAGCCGTATCAAAAGGTACAACTCGTCGAAAACAAGTGTCGCCGGTGTCGCGGCGTGATCAAAGCTTCCTTGGCACGCCGAGTGATGCATCTTTGTGCCTTCGCACGCTTGGATACCGGTCAAGAATTGACGCCGCGCCAAAGTTTTGAACGTGTGTCGCGCGTAGAAGCCTTTAGATCATTTATATATATCGGCCACAGAGTTCTGGATCGTCCAGCTGTTCCGGTGAGTTGCTATCAATAAAAGGGAGAGATCTGTACGTGTTCTTATGTACTATATTAACCATGTCCCAAATCCACTCTAATAGATTCAGTGGGAGCACGAATAGGGCAACGTTGTGGAGCCAGGGGGTTTTCGAAAGCAAAAGTACAAGACGGCGAGAATGAAAATCTTTGAAGCGCGGCCGATATGGTCGTGTGCAATCTGCTGACCAATTACAAATAGGCGAGCCGCGCTCAAACGTCAAGTACAATTAAGTAGGTTGATAATAAGCCAGCACTGATCAGTGATGAGGAGCTGTTGTGCACGGTATTGTGTAAATCGTCTAAGGACGAAAAAAAGACGTACCTTCCCCCCATCTTCCGTCGCTAGTGGACGCTGGATTAAGCTCGTTCCTAAACCGCGAGGGGAAAAGACGCAGATCCAGAGGCACGAACAGCTTCACGCACATTGCACTCGCTAGACACATACACACGGCGTCGGTTCTTGGTCGGTATCCAAGCGTGCGAAGGCACAGAGACACGGCACTTCGGCGTGCCAAGGATGCTTTGAACACGCCGCCAGCCCTTCCTTTCGACGCGTTGTGCCTTTTTCCTGCGACACTGCACTTTCGTAAAATTTTCCACGTGTTCACAACGGTAAGTCTCAACAATACACGGAGTCTTCGAAAAACTTCTTCGGCGAATGACGACGAACGAGTAGAAAACGTGTCTACAGCACGCTGGAAAACCGCAGCAAAGGCTAGCAAAAACGGCAAATCGTATCCCAAGCGAGTGAAGTCCGGTGGCTTCACTTGCGCTGCAGCGAACAAGCGGGGAAGCGCGATCCAGCAATTGTCATAGAGATCAGTGGTTGGCGCCAAAAGGACACGACTTTGGATATGGCAATCCAAACAACAAAAGTCCGCTTGTTGCCAGACTTAGCACTTCAATTATACTAAAAACGCCGCGGTCCGCCGCCAAGGTCCGTGCGAGAAAAGTCGCTTGGCATTTGTCACAAGCGCGGGCCGCGGACCGCCGGCGGACCTCGAAAACCGGTGACGTATAATCACGTGATCCGCGGCCCGCGGACCAAAACAGCAATTTGGTCCGTCGTGTGGATACACCTTAATGGTGATCTAAGGATATCAATAAAAAAGTAATAAATAAAAGTAACACATCCTTGCGAATCTTCCCCCAAAGTCTATTTCATACATCGCGCGCTACTGTGTACAGGCCGCGCGCAATTTGGTGTTTTCGACTCGATTCTAGAGATGGCGCCACCTGACTTAATGGAGAGAATGGCTGTGACTTCATGAAAAACATGGGGTCTAGAAGTCGCAACAAAACAAAATACGTCGCTTGCATGACGAGAAACATTTGAATGCACTATGGGTTAACACACTGCGCGCACGACTCAACTATGTGTGAACGGGCCGTAGGGGAAAAAAACGAAATTTTATTTGTGGAATAAAGTAGAAAAAGAATACTTTATTATATATATATATATATATATATATATATATTTTTTTTTTTTTTTGCGTTACCTTATTTACAAATAAATAGAAGCCAGACACCGGGAAGAGGCAGGCGGGGGCATGAACAATCGATCGATTAATCAGATAATAAAAAAACATGACTGATCGAACGATCGATGTATTGATGGATAGATACAAAAATTATAACAAATGACACTTTTCAAGTACACTGTGCGACAC